AGAAAGTGTGGTGCCGGAGAATGGGAGATGAAATGTACCGCTGTTTAGGAAGGCCCAGATCACGGTGGATCTTTAGGTATGGAAAGGAATTTGGATTTTTTCCAAATGGCAGTGGAAGGTCAAAACAGCAACAGAAATCAAACTCACTGCCAAGTCAATTCTGACTCATAGCAACCCTCTAGGACAAGGTTAAAAACTTCTGTGGATTTTCAAGCCTGTAAATCTTTACAGGAATAGAATGCCTCATCCTTGTTCAGCAGAGCTGCTGGTGGTTTCAAAGTTCTGACCTTATGGTTGCAGCCCGATGTGGAACCCACCACGCCACCACGGCTCCTTCGGTGAAAGGTCAGTAGAGTCCTTTAATCAAGAGCTGATTTGCATTCTGATTTGCACTTTGATTAGTTCGGGAAGGCTGGTGCGTAGAACACAACATGTTTAGTTAGGCCGTTAGTGACAACGGGAGGGCCAGTAGGCTAGCTAGAGTGAGCGGTGCTGGTAAAGACAATGTAATGTGAGAGCAGTGATTGGATTCTGGGTCTCTGGGGGGACACCGAGCCTTGCTGGCAACTGAAATGTATGTTGTGAGGACAAGAGAGCAACCAAGGAGGACTCCTGGCCCTTTGATTTAAGCAAAGCTGTATATGATAGGGCATACGCTAAGATGGGTCAGCCTGGGGGCAGTACTTTTTGATGAAAGGAGAAATCAAGTGTGGTTTTTCCCATGGTTTACTTGAGATGTACATTCCATGTCCAAGTGGAGATGTCAGTGGGTAATTAGACTTTCAGGATTGGGACTTGGAAGAGAAGGCAGGGATGGGGCCTACATTTGGGAATCATCAGGATACACATGGTATTCACAGCAGTGGGGTGGATGAAAGCACTTAGAGAGGGCCAAAGGCCAAGGCCTCCCTGGACACATGGAGACTGAGGTCAAGCAGAGAGCAGGCAGAAGAGAATGAGGAGAAGCAGCTTGTCAGGTTGGAAGCAAACCAGAGTGTGTGGGGTCATGGAAACCTACAGAAGAAGACACCTCAAGGAGAGTGTTGGCAATTGTGGCTGATGCGGCGAGAAGTAGAGTGAGACCACCAGGGCAGAGGGTGTTCCTGTTGGGATGGACCAAATGGTGGTTCTGGGTGACCTTGGTTAAAGATGCTTCCTTGGTGTTGTCTGAAGGAAAAGTGGGGAGTCATGAAGTGAGACAGAATACACACCGGTGGGGAGGACCTTCGCTGAAAGAAAAAGAACTTGTTTGCTGGAGGGAGTGATGTGGGTCAAGGGAGGGGCCTTAAAAGTGAATCATTATTAAGGCCTTTCTGCTGGGATGAGCCACAGGAAAGGGAGACCAGTATGATGTGGGAGAAAAGAAGGGATAGCTGCCGGACAGAAGTCCTCCATTAGGGATGAGGACCAGACCCAGGCTAGGAGCAGGGTTTCTGTTCCCAGGTGTGGAGGCAGAATAGAGGGGCTTAGCTTCGGCCGGGGTGATATGAAGATATTCGGTAGAGTTTAAAAGCACTTAGCTTGCTATGCAACGAGTAAGAAAAGAAAATCTATGTTCAATAAATAATTATGCTAGAACTGGTTAGTGAAATGCAGCTTTACAGATTCTTCTCCCAGTATGAAATGTAGCTCCGCTGTAAATAATGTTGACTTGTAAAAATACTAAGCAGCCAGTTCAATTTTAAGCAAAAACATTAAGCCCCACTGAAAACCAATAGAAAAACACCATCCTTAAAAAAAAAAAGTTTTGTTGACATTTAAGTCACAATTCAGTCGCTTGAATATATGAGTCATGTAGTCACCACCATAATGGTTCTTCATTCTTGTACCATTATTGACCCTCCATTTTTCCAACTTCTCGTCATAATTGTATCTCAGAAACTATTAATCTACTTATTGGCTCTATAGAGTTACCTATCCTGATTTCACATGAAGAAAATCATGAAACAAAATAAAAGCAACAATGATAACAACAGAGCGAAAATCCAAACCAGAGAAAGCAGAAAGTAACAGTGGTTATGTACTGGGCTGCTAACCACGAAGTCCTCGAGAGAAACACGGGCTTTCTACTCCATAGTCAGTCTCATCCACTCCCAGAAGCAGTCTACTCTGTCCTACTGGGTTGCCCATGAGTCAGAACTGACTCATTGGCAGTGAGGGAACACATTTAAAATGGGTCAAAAGGGAAAGCCAATGATAAGGCGTTACATTTTAACCTAACTATATCTGCATGAATCCACTTTCCAGTGCACTCTGTGAGGCCATTCACATGCCTGGTCAATGAAGAACGGAGATTCGCTGGAGGCTTAGTCCAAACAGGGACCCTGCAAATGGATGTTGGCCTTTCACTGTCATCCCTAGCCTTCTGCAAACTGGAACACCACCATATTTTACAACGTACTTTTATTTATTAGTGAAACCACCTGGAGGAGCACAACTCACTAGATAATACTGACTGGATAAGGGGAATTTGCTCCTATTGTCTGACTGTTTTATCAAGGCTGTTCCTTGAACATTCCACTTCTCCTTCCTGTGGCAAGAGTACACTGTTCGTTAGTTCTGACTCGGAAAGAACGCAGAGTAGAACTGTCCAGTAGGGTTTTCTAGCCTGTAACCTTTGCAGGAGCAGAATCTAGAGCTCTCTCCTGCAGAGCTTCTGGGTGCGGGTGGACTACCCACCTTGTTAGCAGCCGCTTGCGTAACCATCGCCATTATCAAAGCTCTTTCCTCTGAGATTAGCCTAGTCGATACGGCTTGTTTTGGCCAACGGTGTGTGAGCAGAGCTGCTAGTGCCACTTCCAAGCAGAAGCATGAACAACTTTAAAAGCACGATGTGCCACGGCCCTTCCTGTTGGTTATAGTGTGCTGTGCCCCCAACATACCTTGAGTGATGTGGGGATCAAAACATTACCAGGTGCAGTGGGCTTGTCTAGCTCAGACACGCGGGGGTGACGGTCTCACTCCCCCAGGCTGCGACTGATGAGGAAGGCAAGGCAGGGGAGCGTTTGGGGCACGCTAAACCCGAGAGGACAGGAGTTCTCAGTGTATAAACCATTAAAGAGGTCGTGGGGATAGACATGCTTGTCCAGGAAGAGGCAGCAGATTGGAAAGGGAAGTTGGCTGAAGGCCTGTGGAACCCAGACGCTTAAGGGAGGGGCAGAGGAGTTATCTACTGTAGACACGTTTTCCTTCAAAGTTTTGAAAACAGCACTTAAAAAGTTCGTATAGATTTCATTATATACAGACCATCAACAGAAGGACACAGTCATATGTCAGACAAGATCAACGAGGCTGGGGAGAAGTATCAGAAATACCCCAATGGGATTTTAGAGGCGACTGGCATTCATTAGGAAACCATAGTGGTACCTTGGTAAAAATGCTCGACTGCTAACCACAAGATCGGTAGTTCAAACCCACCAGATACTTTGTGGGAAAAACACGGGGCCAGTTGCTTTCCTAACAATTTACAGCCTCAGAAGCCCTATGGGGCAGCTGTACTCTACCTCATCTGGTCCTTGAGTCAGAATTGCCTCAAAGGCAGTTCAATTTGGGGTTTAACATTTCATTGAAAACACGGGCAAAAATCGTACTTTCAACCACTAAGGTGGTTTCTTCTCACTGCTGAGTCAATGCTGACTCCTAATGACCCCTGTGGGTTTCCGAGACTATGAGGCTTAAGAATAGAAAGCCCAGTCTTTCTCCTGAGTCGCTGCTGGTGGATTCGAACCGACCATGCGGATCGCAACCTAAGCATAACCACTATCCCACCAGGACTCCCAAGGTGGTTTCCTAGGGGTGGTAGAATAGTCAAGTGGGTGTATACTCAAGGAAGAATGATAATGAAAATAAACGGCCACTCACAATCCAAACACCTTCTCCAGATCCTAGGCACGTGGCTCTGGAGCTCACCACCCATGACCACACATGTAAGTAACTTGAAAGGCAAGTCCTGACAACCTTGGTGATTGTGCGGGGACCATTCTCGTTTGAAAAGCACTCTTCACGTGGGCAGTGGTTTGCTTCTACTTACTCTGGTAAAGCGAAGCATCTTGGTCTACAACACCGGTACTATGACACAGTACCTGGAAAGAGACTGGTGAGTGGGGAGAGGAGCCAGTGGAGTCTGAGTTCTCAGGACAAGGCGGGGGAATCTAAGGAGCCCCATTTATGGTACGTGAACCAGGCACAGCTATTTTAGTTGCTTACGTCTCAACATGGAACACAGGAGCTAGAACTGTGATGTTTACAAACTTTTTATTCAGTTCATTACAGCGGGCAAGTTCCCAGCTAGCTTACACAGATATAAGCGAGGTATTCTGGGTTAGTGCAGGAGCCAGAGGGTGGCATGGGACTTGGAGCACTGAGACCAAGGAGAAAACACCGCGGTTCAGTCAGACCTGCCAAGAGCGCCTGTGCAGAGGGCAGCTCATGTTCTGCCACGACAGCTGCTTTTGCTCTCAGGGGCTCACGATGGAAGGCAAGTCTTCAGCATTATAGTTTTCGTGACGGTAGGGGACGGGTATTAAAGAAACGGAAGCCATGTTTTGGAGTTGAGTAACAGCATGTGGATCTGCACTGTGGAACAATGGCCTAACGGTGGGCCGCAGAGGCTGAAGTCTCTGCACGGCTCCCTTGTCTGTCTTCCTTCACACTGTACCCCCATCTGTTAGCCACAGACCCTGATGTCCAGAGTCTCACAACACGCCAATAAAATCTCTCAGATGACAGCAGCAGCCCGTGCATGTTTAGGGCATGGCTAGCTATCCTCTGTAAAAAGTCACCCACCTCGGACCAATGCCTAATTGAAAGCATAATTTAAACGTGGGATGGACCAGATAATGACCAAGCTACCAAACAGTTGCTCACATCATTCTCAGACATGTTCTGGCCTCCACAGCTGTTAAACTGAAGACAGCTGGATAAACTCCTTGTGAGGTGGACAGAGTTGAGCACAAGCCTTCTCCAGCCCCTGGGAAAAGGCTGAATTGGGAGTCATATTATATACATTCTCTCAAAGGCAAGAACAGCCAGCCAAGATGCAGAGGGTTCAACACAGGTGAAATGTTGAAGGGCACCCTGAGTTCCATTTGGCACTTTTCGGCGTTTATCTGTAAGGAACAGACTTATAAGGTGCTTACTGGGATTCAACTTTTTGGCAAAATAGAAACTTTGGTCACAGCCGCAGTTCTATAACAACAGTACTTTTAAAAGGGTTGATAATTTCTGATGAAATAGCATGTTTTTAGCAAGTTATACATAACAATAACGACGGTAAACATCTTCATAGGCAATAAGAGCAAACATTCTGCATTAGTAGTGCTTATAAATAGTAGTGCGTTCTCTTAGAGGTACTCAGAAAAACAGCAAAATACGTAAGGCATGGCCTGTTACGGTCACAGATTTATGCTAGGTAGTAATGTTCTTTCTGGAAGGCACGAGTTGGAAATCGGATTACCCAAAGGTTTAAAAGGTGGCTCTTGAGACAACGCCCTATGAAGAGAAGAGATAATGTGGAACAAACTACCATAATTGGAGCCCAGCGATTACTCAGTGACGACGTTCCTTCTCCATGGTAACCCTGCACCGGCAGAAGTCCTCCCCCGCAGCCCCGTGTAAACTGGTAAAGGCACTGTGCACACCGGGGGCTGGATTGACTCCGCTTCTAGTCTGGAGTGCACATTAAAAAACAAAGGCACATTTCGTGGAAATCAAACTTTACATTAACTAACCAAAAATAGTCCTTTTAGAAATAGTAGTAGGCAAGCTTGATAATTCGCAGGTACTAAGTCAGAAGTCTTGAAGAGGTCCCGCGGGCAGCAGGCTTGAGTTCCACAGGCTATTCACGAAGAAGTACTCCACACTAATTAATAAGCAGGGAGATGGAGAAAAAGCAGGGAAAACGTTTATTCTTCTAGGGAAAATATGGAATGGATGCTGCACACTAAAACCGAAATGAGTCTCCAACCACAGAGGTGAGGAAGTTCACCTGGGCCATTTGCCACTAGTGACTTTTTGACAGGTCTACAGAGGCGTGGGGGGAGGAGGTCATGAGGAAGGGTTCACGCATCGGTACATCCTCGACAAAGGAAACTTTCACTCACTGCCATTGGCCCAGCAATGAAAGGAAAACGTAGAGAAGTAGCTCCTGTATGCTGAGCTAAAATTGGCAGTGCAGTTTCAGGGGTGATGATAACAATAGCCTCTTGTGTATTATGGGGGTGGGGTGGGGTGGAGTAGGTGCCCCTGATGGTGCAGTGTGTTACATGTTGTTCTGCTACCCAACCAGAGTCTGCAGTCTGAAACCACCTGCTGCTTCTTGGGACAAGGTGAGGCTTTCTACTCCTGTAAAGAGTTACCCTCTCAGAAACCCACAGGGGCAGTGCTACCCTGTCCTAGAGGGTCACCATGAATTGGAATTGACTCGGCAGCAGTGAGTTTGGAGTTTTGGGAATCTAGATAGGAGTCCGAAAGTGGTACCAAGAGTCAATGCAGTCAATGCTCGTCCATATTACAGTTATCTGGCTTACAGAAAACTCCTGCCTGCCCTTTAATGTTAGGTACATTTATGCTCACTTGGATGGATTCAACCTGTACTTACAATACATTCTTTATCGCAATCACACCTTCATTTGCTGCGTGTGCAGATTTAAATCACTGAAAAGACTTTCAGTCTTTTGTTGCATGAACCCAAACCCACTGCTGCTGAGTCAGTCAGCTGCCATGTATGCGGCTGTCTAAGAGAGAGTCGCACTGTTCCATAGAGTTTTCGAAGCTATAAATCTTTATGGGTGCAGACTGCCTCATCTTTCTCCCTTGGAGCAGCTGGTGGCTCATCGCTGACCTTCCAGTTAGCAGCCCAACACTTAACTCCCTATACCACCAGCACACCCCTCTTGCACTCAGCCAAACTGCAAACTCACTGCCACCGACTTAATTCTGACTCTTTAGGATCCTGTAGGGCAGATAACTGCTCCTTTGGGTTTCTGAGATTGTAAATCTTTGAGAAAAGAAAGCCTTATCTTTCTCCCTTGGAGCAGGCTAGTGGGCTGGAACTGATGACCTTGTGGTTAGCCACTCAAGTTGTAACCCATTATACCACTGGGGCTTCCTGCTTGCAATAAAGGTGATGTAAGAACCACATGCACATGTTCTGGCTTACCTACGATTCTTAGACACAGGAACAGGTCTCATTCTAACCTAGGGATTGCCTGCACGTACCCAAGGCCACACAGCTGGCTGGCAGTGGAGCCCTGGTTCCTGTTCTCAATCACTAGAGTGCACTGCTTCTCATAAACGGAAAGATAGGATGGAAATATTTTCAGAGAGAAAAACTAATAAATTAGTGAAAATGGATAAATTTCTTTCTTCAAAAGATTAAAATGTATGTCAAAAGTTCCACGAGGGAAAAACATTGTCATACAAACTGAAATTTTGTAAAAATGTACTCAAACCCAACCCAACTTACTGTCAATTCTGACTCTTAATGACCCTACTGCACAGAGGAGAGCTGCCTCTGTATGATTCTGAGAAGGTAAACCTTAGAGCAGCGGTTCTCAACCTTCCTCATGCTGCGACGCTTTAATACAGTTCCTCATGTTGTGGTGACCCCCACAAACCATAACACTATTTTCATTGCTACCTCCTAACTGTCATGCTACTGTTAGGAATCGGACGACCCCCAGGTTGAGAACCGCTGCTGTAAAGGAACAAGTCTCATCTTTTTTCTATCGAGTGGCTGGTGGGTTCACACTGATGATCCTGTAGTTAGCAGTCTGATGTGTAATCTACTACACTACCAGTGCCCCTTCAAACTTACTAAAGACATATAAAGCCCTTGGGATAAACTATGCATTACGTAATTTGTGAACAGTAGCTGACTGGTGCACATTTTGGGACCTTTTATTTGAACATACAGAGAAGACATTGATAAGGACTCACCAATGATGATGATGATGATGATGACCACCACGCTAATCCCAATTATCCACATCTGTAATGAAATAGATTTCCAGTCACATTTCAAACGTGTGCCTCCTGATGGTACCACAGAACAATAGATTACTCTGGTCATTGAAAAGGGGTATAAAGGTACACAACAATCTGAAATAACCCAGTTTCTAAAACCTACATTTAATGTTTCCATTAAGGTACGGTGGGAAAAAGATGAGGCTTTCTACTACTGTAAAGAGTTAGTTTCAGAAACTCAGAGGGGCAGTTCGGCCTTGTACTATAAATAGGGTCGCTATGAGTCAGTGTTTACTCAATGGCAGTGGAGTTTGGTTTTTATTAGGGTCCAAAGGGCACTGATCTGCCTTTTCTAAGATCTTCAAATGACTGTAGTCCTGAGTTAGGCGTTTGTTGGTGTGTACAGGTTTCCCCCAGGCTGCTAACCTTGGCCCATGTGTCAGCAGGTGTTAGGAAGGGAGCAACCATTGTCTTTGGTGACAATGAGAGCTGCTTAGGCCATGCTCCTTATATGACCACTTTCCATTCTTCTGGTCCCACACACTGTAGCTTTCTAGAAGCTCTTTCCCTGGGTCTTGGAACCATCGCGGCAACACATGCAAATCGACCAGCAATTCCAGCTGGCTCATGTGAGCCTGTGTCCTGGGATCAGCTGGGGACAAGGGCCGGGGAGCAAGATGTCTGTGGGTGATCTTGCACTTCCTCTTCCATAGACCCCTACGGTCTGCCACAGCACAGGAGGAATTCCTAATCATGTAGATAGGAGAGTATTCGGGTCAGCACTTTGGAATCAGACCAATTGAAATTTCCATGCATGGGCAGTAGAACCCACCTTCCCAGATCCCTGGAAGGCCAGTACCTGTAGCCTTTGTTCCTGAGACTGGTGAGTGGTCAAAGTAGTTGAGAGAATTACCTTGCAATTCTTCCACCAGTATTTCCTCTTTAACTTGGCAGCACTTGTTTCAAACTGAGAAGCTCCTGCCTGCAGGGCATCCACCCGGTCGTCCAGCTCAGAAAGCTTCTGGTCTCTTTCTAACACCTTGTCCACGTTGACACGCATGATGTCCACCACCTATATGGGGATGTTCCCACTGAGTCACACAGGAAGAAATGCAGGACCAACAATTCCCAATAAAATCTACTGACAGACCTTTTCTAGGTCAACACTTTATTGCTTTGGGCCAAATTGTCATTAAAAAGGGCAGGGGGAGGCATTTGACTTTATAAATAAAAGTTGCAAAGCAAGACTGAATGAGATCGGGTTTCTTAGCATAAAAACACAAAATTCTGAGAATGAAATCCATAAAAGAAACATTCAGATCCAAACACGACTGCTTGAACAGTTTTAGCTTTGCCTTTTTAAGGCAGCTAAGTGCAGAAAAAGACTGATATCTTTACTGGACAGTACCAATCCAGTCTGAATTCTTCAAGCAATCTTCCATTGTGGCTATGCATCTATAATGCAGAACGAAAGATGCTGTGATGGACCCCCAGCTCAAGATTCCTACAAATACAGATTTGTTGGGCTCACAGCAAGTCGCCAGCATCTGCCTGCCCTGTGCCAATGGCAACAGCCAGGGACAAACTCCCCAGAGACTTGCTCAGGCTGGGTAACACGTAAGGCTAAACAAAGCACTCTGATCAACCATCTAGTCAATTAGAGAAATTTGAAGACCCTAGCCGTAAAAGTTTATAACCCTATTTTTCACTTGTGTGTTTTAGGATGTGGTTACAGTTACATGAAACAAGCGTGAAACTAGGAAGAGTCTGACTTCTGCTTAGGTCAGGGTGCCCAGGAAATAGGGAGGCAAATTTTTACTTAATTTATGATACTGTCAGGCACCTGGTGGCACAATAGATAAGCACTGAGCTGCATACGAAAAGGTGGGCAGTTCAAATCTTTCCACTGGCTAAGCAGGAGAGAAAACCAGACAACTCATTACCTTAAACACTGTAGCCTAGGAAACCCTGTGGGGGCAATTCTCCTGTCACATGGGGTTACGATGAGTCACATTCAATTTGACTGAACCCGAGAAATGATACTGTCAAA